GGCGAAGCCCATCTGTATATAGGTAAAAAGAAATGAGGAGTAAGGGAGTTGAACCCTTGACCGTTGGGTCTGGAATCCAACGCTCTACCACTGAGCTAACCCCCCATTGTTGGATTCTGAATTCAAGTTTGAGTTATGACCATTTCGTTTTTATACTTGGGGGGAAGTAATATGCATCTTCCCTACCATCAATCGGAACTGGTAAGCGTTACCGATATTGCGACTGTTGGTGTTGCTCGTGACTTCGAGAGTGACCATCTACTGTACTATGTATGTCCATCACTTGAGTGGCTCTGATAGTGAGTCGACGCAGAAGAATGACTGCCTAGCTTCACATGAAGGGCGCACAACACCGCGTCCACACCAACGCGTCAAAGTTAGCTGCCCATGCTGCAATGCTTTCGAGAATATTCAAAACTTGTGCGGTATTCCAGGAGTACAGCTTCAAGGGCCGAGTCCACCGATTCATTCACGTGATTGTCGATGTGGAGTGCTTCCCCATTGTTCTGCAGTCCACACGTGGGAATCGTTGGCTGACTCGACTTTCAAGATGCTGATGCTGGTGTTGGCAATTTTGGGGCACTTGTTCTCCTTCACGACAGGGTATGCGGCGGGATATCCCCCCAGATGTCGAAAGCAGTTGAGGATGAACCCTCCGTGCGTGAACACGGCAATGCGCTTCGCATGGCGAAAGGTCTCCGCTATGAACTGCAGCGCCAGTGCAGCTCGATCCAACCCCTCTTGTCGAGATTCACCGGGGTCGTTCGGTGCAAGCGGTCCTTCACTGCGAGCTTGATGCACTGCCGCCAAGATTGGGCAGTTCATAATCTCATCAGTTGTGTGGCCTTCCAGGAGTCCGTAATGCTCCTCTCGGAACCGTGCATCCAGTTCCACAGGTAGGCTCAACATCTTGCCAACACTTTCAGCCGTACCTCGCGCTCGTGATAGATCGCTACAAAGTTGACGCTAAGGAAGGATTGGATGCTACAGTACGTCATCATGATGCACCTCGACAAAAGAACGTCAAATGGGGTGGCTACATGCACCCGAAGCATGTGCGCCGCGACGTTGGCCGCTTGTTGGCGTCCCTCTTTGTTCAGTGGAATGTCCGAGTGGCCCTGCCACCGCCGGTCCACGTTCCACGCCGTCACGCCATGACGAATCAACCACACTTCGACCATGGCCTTCAATACGTTTTATACGCCTTTTCGGATAAAACGCACTTTGTTTTTTAGTATTTCGTTACTTTCAAACCCACTGATTATTTCAACACGCTTGTTGCGACTTTGTCGGTGACGACGACTTGGAATGCGGCGGGGGGTGCGGCGGTGGATGTGGAGGCTGCGGGGGGTACGTGGACGCTCCGATCCCTCCGTCCGGTTTCAATAACGCCAAGCAGTCGGCGGATTCGCTGAACAAAGCCGACTCGCTCAACGCCGCCAACCAGGTTTGCGCACGAGTCAGCCATGTACAGTCTGTAGTCATCGCACTGGCAGGGCTCTCGTCAAGATGGCAAACGAACGACAGCGGACGACAACGTGGTTAAGCCGCAAAAGTACGCCCAGGTCAAGTCTGTGCCAGAATATTGCAGAACATAGCTACTCAAAATGTAATTATAACCACAATTCTGGCTACATAGTTTACTCAAAATGGAATAGTAACCACGATTCTGGCTACATAGTTTGGCTAGTATCGTTGGAGTAAAGTCACCTGGTTGTGATATGGCTGGTTCGAAGTCATACTGCACACATTTCTAACATGCCCACAGGCAGCAGCCTCTCCTGCCTGCAGCATTCGGTATTGCCGTTATAGCAAGTGAATACATTGTGATCGCGAGACGCTTTCTGAGATCGATCGTTAACCGACGTGAGCCTGAGACGACAAAGTCCATGAAAAGCCGCGAGATCTTTGGTTTCGAACGAATTGATTGGCTGAGGGAATATTTCCCGTCCTGGGATTGGTGGAATTTTCGCCGCTTCTATTTTTACGCACCAACCGGCAGTTTTTCAGACCAATTGCATCTCCAGAAACCACTTGGTTCCTGTGCGCCGCACAACACTTCCATTTCGTCATGCCGATGCCGATGCTGTTGTGTATGTGCTTCCCCAAGGACAAATCGTCCCCGAACAAGCCATCGACCCCCGGAGCGTACGACTGCACGACCATCGGCACGCCGTTCGCCATCTCCCACGACTTTCACGTGTCGTACAACTTTGAGCAGGCGCGGTTTGAGATCCAAGGAGAGGGCCCACCTCCCCCCGAGGTCGAGTCCCAGCTCGAGAACTGGAACATGCATCAGCATTTCAATGTCCCGATCCAACAAATTCCTCGCGTTGCGCTACCTGCGTATACGGACCGCATTCCAGCCGTCCTGCTTATGCTACAGCATCAGTTCTACGCGCAAAATGGCCATATCGTTCCGTACATTTTCAGGGAAAGTCCAGGAAAAGCCGACCGCGACCGCGCAATTCAAGCCATCAACAGTGGCACGTTTTGTGGGGACGACATATCTGACGTCCGCATCGTCGCCGACCTTATCAAGGTTTGGTTCCGCGAGTTACCGACGCCACTGCTACACCAAATCCCGCTGACTCTCATGGAGCACATTAACTCGTCATCCGCGTCAAGTGTCTGTCCCGACATGCTGGAGTACATGGGAGCCATGGAACTATCGATCCTACAGTGGCTCGCAGACGTGCTTCTGCATGTAGCTTCCTTCGAGCATGTCAATCACATGGGGATCGAACAGCTCGCCATTATCCTCGCACCAAACCTCATCCGCATCGACACTCCAAACCCCATGGTCGCCGTGACTCTGTCCAAAGCAAGTGTAGACTTTCTCCGACGATTTCTCAAGCACCGAAGTGGAAGTGTGAACACCGCAGCAGAAGTCAACCTACCTCCTGCAGTCTAATAACTTATTTATTTGTCATTTATTGAGTCACAGCCTCAGTACCATTGTTGCCAGTACTGGTATACGGTTAACGATAGAATAATGGTGCTATTGTGCTTTCGAGTGAAATTTCATTGTGTTGTGGTGTTGAAATTTAAATCGATTTGATTGGCTACTTCAGATGAGCTCAAAATTATTAGCCAATCAAAACCTTCTAAATGAAATTCAACCAATCAGATCGATTGTGGATCGGTTTGGTCGGCACGATTCGATTGCACTCCCTCCCCAAATTTGTATCAAATCGACAATAACAGTGCAATTTTCATACACATAAACAGTAAATTGTGGGTCAAGCAGATCAATTCCAAAAATATCAACAATGTACCGGTAGCAACAAATCAAGAAAGCTACGTGCAATGCTTGTGTGTAGTACAATTATTCTAGCAATTTATGTGCCGATTCTAGCAATATCTGTGCCGATTCTAGCCATTTCTGTGCCGATTCTAGCAATTTCTGGGACTACCAGGCGTTCAAAGGCGCAAATAAAATTTCGACTTTTTCGTCCATTCGGGAATTATCCACGGCATCAACACGACGACGTTGTTAACTCACAATCGGGCAATCACTTGGTCCAATTCTTCCGTCGTGGCCACGTGGAATCCATGGGCCGCCGTCACAATTGCCAGTTCCACGTTGATGCTGGTCAGCTTTTCTTCCATGTGCTACGTACAAACATGTGAGTATCGCCATCCTTCATGCGAGGCCAAGTACCTGCTTGAGCGTGCCGATGGCAAGCTTTTGTGCGTCCAAAAGCGACATGTCTTCGCTGTAGCTCTCCTTCAGGTTGTTCTGCGCACCTTGTTGACCCGACCCAATCGCCTTGGCGTGGACGCGGAGGTACGTGCCGGACGGGTCCGAATAGAACAAGTGCGGGCCAGTGTCGTCAACGCCAGCCAAGAGAAGCGCCACGCCGAATGGGCGACTCATCTTCTGCTTGTGCGAGTTTTCGTCGTTGCCTTCACCGAACGACAGCGCCAAATCGCACACGGCTTGGGTCAACGCGTTCACACGGATAGGCTCGTTGTACGAAAACCAATGGTTCGTCGCCTCCACGCGCGCATGATCGATCAACGTGCGCGCGTCCGCAGTGAGTCCACTCATGGCCGCCCCGATGTGGGAATCGACCTCCATGATCTTTTCGATGCTGCTTGGCTCCAGGAGCGTCGATGTGATGCGCTTCTCCACAGCCAATACGACACCTTCTTTTGTCCGGATACCCACAGCAGTGGTCCCCATCTACGTGGCCAGGATCATCATGCTGCTCACGACAGGGAAGGAGGAGGAATCGTGACTACCTTGATGGCTTCGATGGCATATTCGACTTGGAACAGGCGACCTTCAGGGGAGAAGGTGTTGACACCACGATCGTATTCAGTCCTGTTCAGGGAAGAGCCGTGATGAGTACGACGTGCAAGGATCTACAGCGACGGCGACGTACTTGGTTTGAAACATGTTGCCTTCGTAGGATTGTCTACCAAATGCTGCGCTCCCCACATCAACCCCCTTGAAATCCGATAGATCGTACCACATCTATTTTCACGGGTTTAACTATTAATTACATTACGTTACTTGGACCATCTCATTGAATTATATGTACTTCATAACACCATATTTTAGGTTAGTACTGCGTTCCTTCCAGCAATGAATCAAGACCCACTACGAGTATCGGAGTAATGAGCTGTCGGGGAGCTCACTGTCGTCGGGTGATCTAGAGTTATGTCAAGCGAGTGGCCAAGAACGACGAAGACCTCGGGCAACTGTCGGAGGTTGCGCTGCAAAGGCTGCGTAGGCCTCCATGCACTCATAATTGACTTGACGTCGATTGTAGGCACTGTCACAGAGCACTTCATCGATGAAATAGGGGCACTTGCGGCGACTCATATGGCGAAGCACGAAGGAACTCCATTGACATCCGATATCTTGTACAATACCTCTTCCATTATTACATGTGCTAGACGAACGAGACTCCTAATAACGACGTGCCAGGAAGAGTCTCGTACACGCGTCGAAGTCACAAACCTTCGATCCTGTCCGGCATGTGCTTGATACATTGACAATCCCGCCGCACCGCGAAAAGCCGGTGAAGAAACGTGTCAAGGCGTCCTCTCCTCGTCGCGCCAAGAAGGTGGTGAAGCGAACGACAGAACCTAAAAAGGCGGCATCCGTCGTGCAGCCCGCTCCTAGCGTAGACCTGATTGAAGAAGATGACGACTACGACGCCAGCGACTAATAATGTGCATGCATGCCTTCTTGGTCCTTCGTCGGCGTCGAGCCTATCTATCATGCATGTATCCACCCGTTGTCACCGGCTCCACCGTCATGAGAACGTTCCTTCCCATCTGGTTTTCGATAATTATGGGTCCCCCTACAAGGTTCCAGTTGACCAGTCATGGGTTTTAGGGTCCCGTGCCCCAATATTCATCATGAGTACCGGATAATATATCCGGATGGGTCTGTCGGCTGGAGCACAAAAAGCAACAGTTTGTGATACTTGTCAACGCACAGATGTGGGTTGTGCTCAAGTTTGGTGGCACAAGCGTGTCCACGGTACCTCGATGGCAGCGCATTTGCAACCGCGTGACCCAGGTCCTCGAAGAAGACGGTCATCCGCGTGTTTGGGTCGTCATCAGTGCGCTGACCCAAGTCACAAACCGGTTGACACAAGCGCTGGCCGACGCCATCTCTGGCACCAACCACTTGAAGTGTTACTTGGAGATCTTTGATCAACACATCGCGTTGGCACTCGAGCACAACTTGCTCTCGGCCGATGCTGCCGCCATTCTCGTCGAACACGAACACGCCAACCGTGCCTTGTCACCGGACAACGTCCCACCAGTCCTCGCGTCATTGATCCACGAGTTCCAGGTACTGTGTCTTGCAATGCAGCATCGTGCTTATCACGACGGGTAGAACGTTCGACGTGTGTTGGACGGCATCCGATTGACTGAAGAAGCGTCACCCCGGCTACGCGCTCGCATGTTGGCGTTTGGAGAACTCCTGTCGACCCACCTGGGACTTGAGATCATGAAGCAAGCCGGACTCGACCGTGTCGTTCGCGTCGACTCCCGTCAGGTTGGTCTCTCCACGTCCAACGTATCTTTACCATCCTGATGTAGCTTCTTTTGAGTGACGCCGAAGCCACCACGTCAGACATGGACCGGTACTTGGAAGCGAACGTTCAGCCGTCGGTCGATTCGGTGCGTCCGTCCTCATCTCATCCATCATATTGTCCTTTCACCCAAGATTTGGCCTTTTGGGCTGATTCGCCAAATGGATGGATCCATTCTTTGACTTTTGTATGTAAAGATCGTCCTATATCACACTAATGTCAGTCACACACACACTAATTTCAGTCACACTCTAATTCATTGTTGAAATGGTGAAGGGTGAAATTGATTGGCCACTTGAAAAGTGATCTGGGTTTTGATTGGTCGGTCGATTGTCTGCCGATTTGGTGATTTTCGAATCGACTTAACAATATCAGGTCCTTTTGACCAATACAGTATGGTGGAATGACTTGGAGCCGCACAAGAACGATTTGTTGATCTCTCTCACACACACCATGCGCTAGTAGGAGGGCCGATTAGACGACGCCAGTGGCGGCGCGACCGTGGTCCTCTCGCAAGGGTTCATTGCTGGCGTGGTTGCCCATACTGGCAAGTTGGATGTCGTGGAAACGTGCGTGCTGGGTCGGGGGGGAAGCGACACGTCCGGCGCGCTCTTCGCCGCGGCGCTTCAAGCGCTTCGTTACGAAATCTGGACCGACGTGCACGGAATGTACACGAGCGACCCTCGGTATGTCCCCCACGCGAGATTGCTGCGGAAACTGGACTACCGAGAGGCGCAAGAGTTGGCCGCCATGGGCGCCAAGGTACTTACGCACTAGTATATATATGTATATACATACCTACCTACCTACCTACCTTCACGAGTATTTGTATCGCAGGTGCTGCACCCGCGATGCATTGGTCCAGCGCATTGGGCCAACGTGCCCGTGGAGATTCGTAACACGAACGACCCGCATGGCGAGAAAACTGTGATCGGACACATGGAAGACTCGGGCAGTCCAAAGGTAGTGTCTACTCGTTATTGTTCATTCAGCCAAAATTGTGTTTGCCAAATCCATCCATCGATTTTTTGTACTGAATTTTCTACTACGTAGTATATATAATGCCCATCTCACACTCATTTAAATCACACACTAATTAGTTGTTAATTGGTTGAACGGATGATTTCCTGCAATCGGATTGGCTAATTTCATCTTCTGCCGATTGTTCTGCATATTTGGTTGTGTGTCGATTTATTCGGCACGTCGGTCCAGTTATAATACCATTGCAATGGGAGGATTCTTTGTGCAATGGTCAGTGTTGTGATGTTTATGTACCTACCATTGCAATGGACACGAATACTATAAATCCACTTGATCATGGGATGACGTTCCTTGTGATGGTAGATCATGGCGGTGGTCCGTCGTACCAACATGACGTTGGTAACCATCACCGCGTATGGCATGTGCGGCACGTCCGGGTTTCTTTCCAAAGTGTTTTTGCCGTTTGAAACACTCGGGATATCCGTGGATTTGATTGCCACGTCGCAGGTATTAATAGTAGTCTCTGTACACCGAGCCTGCGACACCGTTTTCGTGATTTCGTGTATGTGGTTGTAGTTTTCCGTGAGCGCGACGTTGGACCATATTCCCGGCGGCGTCGAAGGCACGTCGTTTGCGCTTTTGCTTATCGCACTCGAACGTCTGGGGTCCGTGGCCGTCGTGTCGTCCTGCGCGACCGTGTCCATCGTCGGCCGGCACTTGCGCACGTCCCTCGGCGAGCTCGGCCACTTGTTTGAGCTGCTCGAAGGCACCGAGGTGCTGCTTTTGAGCGAATCGGCCGAAGATCTAAACCTGTCGTTCGTCGTGCGGGACTCGGACGCCGACGGACTCGTCCAGCGCATGCACGCGGCGCTGTTTCCGCCGCCCGAGAACGCCTTCAGCTCGCCCATGCGGCGATCCATTTCCAGAGACGACTTGCTCGGGTCATCCTGGGCCGAACTTCGCGCACCGTCGACCCCCATGACCAACCTGCTCTTGTAGGCTCGATAGAATCGTTTCAACATAGACAACTTAGAACGATGATGCATGGTTGTCGTGGTTTGTTTTCTCCATCTGTCCAGGCCAGGGTCTGACATCGCAGTAGACGTGACCGACACACAAGAAGTGGTTCCAAGCCTGCGTGGCCAATATAGTTAGTATCAGTGATTTTCGTGATTTCACGGCATCTGAGTGGACAAAATTGGACAATTTTGAATTCGCAACGTGACCTGCCTTGCGAATTCCAAAAAGAGACAGACTCATGAAAAATAAAAATCATCAATACAAACTTGAAGATATATTTAATTGAAACTATGCAATTTCAGAATTATTTATGGAACTCGCAAGGTGGTTCACCTTGCGCAGCATACAAAATTGCCAATTATTTCTCCTTGCTTTTTCTGGTTAATGACCTCACCAAAATTTGCGGCGCATGTGAATTATAATTCCGGATGATTTTGGTGGCGAAAAATAAATTTGCGCCGGTTTCTGAAGTCCTCCATTGCCAAGCTTCTCCATTTCACAAAAAATACAACGATGTATCGGACAGGAGTCACAGTGAGTATATTTAGTACAAGTAAAATGACGCTCGACAATTTCAGGTGGATTTGACGTCGTTCGTCGAATCTACTGAAAATACCAAATTTAGCTGAAAGCATAATATCTATCTATGATTTAGACAAGTATCCACCACCTGATTTGCTTCGAAAATCGAAATATAAATAGATGGAACATCATTTGAAATATATTGAACAATGTGTGAAATATACCGCCTGGGGGTTGACATATACTAGTACCGGACATTAGTCGAAATACTACTACGTACTGTACTTAGCATAATGCAACGAAGTAAGGTCTGTACGAAATATATCGAATGTTCGGCGCGAACAAACGCACATGGCGCGAATCAGTTGTATGTCGGACGAAATAGACCGGAAATAACCTGAACTTAAACGAAAAATGGTGTACTAATAACACTAAACACTTCAACCACCAACACCAGTTCCGGACTACAGTATGGCCAAGAGATTTCCACCTCCCATCCAGTACCCCAATTACACAACTCGTGTAATACAAATAATACAAATGAATAATACTGGAGGAACTGTCCACTTAATGCGCAATCAAGACCTTGTCCTTGGGGGTTTCCGCGCCTTCGTAGGCCTCCTCGTGGGTCTTTTCTTCCATGTACGTCTTAACCGAGATGAAGGCGAGCACGAGACCGACGGTGGAGAGCGTCCAGTTGACAATAATGTTGGACACGGGCGAGATGGGGATGCCGCCCAGACGCCAGCCCACAGCAGCCATGCCAGATTGCACGCACTTGTAGTAACCGGCGTAGCGACCCAGCGTGGACATGTCGTCCGAGAACTGACCCATCAACCAGTACGCCCACACTTGCACGATCGAGTCGTTGAACCCGTAGAACATGTACAGCAAAAACTTGAGCCAGAACGCGCCTTCTTGGAAATCAATGTTCTTGTCCTTCTTGCCGTTGCCCAAGTCAAACTCCACTTGCACCCACATGGCCGAGCCCCACATCAACATGATGAGCACGGCGATCACAAAGATGGACTGCAACGCCTTGGGCTTCTTGCTGCCAGGGCGATCGAGGTACTTGCCCACGGTGAACGCGCCGAGCATCTGCGACCCCCAGTAGAACGCAGACGCGAACGAGCTGGACCGGGTGTTGAACAGCGACGTGTTGAAGAACGAGTGGTACTGGTAGAACCAGTTGGAGTACGCAAACAGCGGGAACATGAGCAGCATCTTGGGGTCCAAGAACGTCTTGAGCGTGGCCACGAACTCGGACACGGGGTTGGGCAAACGCTCCACCTTGACCATCGTGCCGTCGTTACGCACGACGTTGTTTG